CAAAGATAAGCAAATTACTTAGTTCACTTATTTGCTTGTAAAACCCCCATGACAAATACACTAATACTTCCCTTACAATTTCCCTCCTTTTGTGAAATTTAAACTTACTTAGTTTAGTATTTTCTGTAGGATTTACAGGCTGACTTAAAAGTGTCAGGAAGGATACAGTGGTATCCATAAGTCACTATACATACAGCAATGTACAACACAAAGATAACTCCAAATAGAAGATTTTCATTTAGTAGACTGGAAAGTTGTATCAGTAAAATTTGCCTTTCATTGCGCTGTTAGACTTAAGGTGTTTTTTTTTTTTTTTTTTCTATTACATGACTAGAAAGATTCCTAAATAATTGCTACCATTACAAGTAAAATGAACCCTAATTTATACACTGATAGTTTTTGTTATTTTTCGTTTTTTTGAGTCAGGGTCTTTCTATGAAATTCAGACTGGTCCTGAACTCACTATGTAGCCCACTCTGGGTTGAACTCAACAATGCTCCTGCTTCAACCTCCTCAGTACTAGAGGACAGGCATGCACTGTCATCCCTGGCTCCTAGCCTTTATTTTTACTATGAGACAAGATCTTGAAAAGACAAACTTGTGATCTTCTTGCTTTAGTCTCCCAAAGTGCTTTAGTTACAGGTGTACACATGTGCCACCATTCCCAGCTGTCTGAGTTTTTAAAGTAAAATTTATAGCAATTCCTAAAAGCTTTATGAAATGATCTGGGTTTGCACAACTTCAGTTTACTTTGCTTTATTTTTCTCCATAGCACCTATCTAAAAGACTAAAGAATGAACATTCATTTTAGTGCTTTCTGCAAGGCAAGCATTAATCACTTGACTGATTTAATGCTCAGCCATTCTATGAAGTAAACTATTACTATTTCCAAATTAGAACTGGGCAAACTGAGGGAGAGACATGTTAAGTAACTTGCTCAGGACATAGCAGAGCTAGGACTCAAACCTGGTAAGAATGGCTCCCAGCTCTGGACTCTACGCTACACCATGCAGCCCCTTCTTATCATCAGTGGCCCCTACACCAAAAATGAGCTGCAAGAGACAGGGACTTTTTATAACGCTCTATCCCTACCCTTTTAATATGTGATAAGGGTCAAGGAGTATCTGATGAATGATTAAAGGAGGGTGGTCTAGTTAGAAAGGAGAATGTATCAACTTAGCCAGAACCTATCTCAAAATTTTAAAAATATAAAACAGGAAATGGGTGTGAATGTAGCCCAGTAAGTGTAGGCACCTTCCTAGCATGTAAGACTCTGCAGCAAAATAAACAATACAACAAGACTCTACTAATCTACATATAAATAATTAAACCTATACCACTTGGTACTGGAATTGACTTTAATTAAACACAAATAAATAGTACTTTACTTTAACAGGATAGTCAACCACAATATCCAGAAAATATTTCAGAATTTTGACAAAAACAAATATAAAACATGAAAGTAATCTCCTACAGCGATGGCTGTCTCCTATGTCTGTACAGATACACAGGTACCTAGGAAAATGCTAGCTTATTTTGCAATCTGCAACTGAAACAAACACACATACATCAGGGTATGTCACACTAAAAACAGCGCCTGAGAAAAGTCCAGAATGCTCCTGCTCCTCCAGAGGGATCTGAGACTTCTTCCAAAGAGTTCCTTGAGAGTCTCTGGCCTTTCTCCTAACTTTCCCAGGACCCGCTGGCCAGAGAAACAGGACTGAGCTGCGACCTGGGCCCTGTTTGCAGGAACCCATACAGTATCACATGGCTTCAAGTCACAGAAAGAATTGTGGGGCAAATGGCCTAGCTGGGTGCAGCTGTCATATTTTCTAATATTTAAAACTGCCTAGCAGGTGGTGTACTGTAGACACTGACAGTCAAATTTGAGCAAGAGACCACGCCTGTTGGAGGGGCCAAGAGCAACTATAGGTTGATCTCCTTCAGAGATTTCTTCCCAACTATTTTGATTTTTCATCAGAATGGATGAAAGTTTGCTGGGAAATTATTAGAAATACAACTTTACACCCATTCCCATTCATTGATGAAGCAGACAAACAAGGATAAACGAAACCCTTGTGGGACCACAAAACGTAACTTTCAGTTCCCCTGCAGGAGAGACATGGTTGGTTAGGGGTCATTTCAAACTTTCCCCAATACCACTGGACCATGACCTCCCAAAGCACGTCATCTTTGGGAAGTTTTTGGGTTTTTTTTGTTTTGTTTTTCTTCCGGTACCAAGAATCAAACTCACAACCTTGTGCTTGCCAGGCAGGCACTTTGCCGCTGAGCTAAATCCCAGCCCCTTGAGCTAAATCCTCAGTGCCCTTTGGGAAGTTTTTGCCAATACTAGTTAGTTCTGATGCAGGGCACTGGTATGTGTTCTGCTTTTGTTCTCAAAAGTGGCGTTGCATTGCCGGGTGTGGTGGTGCACCCGTGATTCCAGCACTGAGGCCTGATTGCCACAAGTTCAAGGCCAGCCTGAACTACATAGCAAGACAGTCTCAAAAATAAAAACAAACCAAAATGGTGTCACAGCCAGGAGTAGTGGCACATACCAATAATCCAGGAGAGGAGATCACAAGTTTGAGACCAGCCTGGGCAATTTAGGAGATCCTGTCTCAAAATGGAAAAAATAAAAATAAAAAATAAAAAGTATTGTATAGCTCAGTAAGTTCAATCCCCAGTATTCCCCACCAAAAGGAGCATCACATCCCATAATACTCATTACCTGTGTTCTTTTAAAATAAAGTTATTGGGTTAATATTATCCCTTAGTTACTGTGGACTGATCAGGTCTGCAATCAGGTCCTCAATCTCCCAAATGAGTGGACAGTGAAGGCTAAATAAAAAAAAGACAAATGGTATGATTTCAGGGCTCTAAGAGGATCAAAGACCCTCTCACAGAATTCGAGATTCTCTGGTGGTTAAGACCAAGATCTTTGGGTGGCCCATATTTACTTAGTTATCAGCACAAAGAAGGGGAATACCCAAGAAAGGTGGGAACTGATCAAGGACTTCTCTAAGTAAGGTATTATGTTAATTTAAGAGAGCTTGCCCTGTATGGTGGCACTCACCTGCAATCCTAGAACTCAGGAGGCTGAGGCAGGAGAATCGTTGTGAGTTCAAGACCAGCCTGGGCTACAAAGTTAGCTCAAGGCCAGCCTGAACTGCATAGCAAAACCCTACCCTGCCTCAAAAAAGACAAAACAACAACAGAACCATGCACGCTATTTTAACATATTAATATATGACTGACACTGTCCCAGGGTTTGCAGCACAAATGTACTGGCTCGTTTAAAATAAGTAAGTATGGTTTTCGGTTTGGGTCATCTTCACTGTTACTCTTGATTAGATAGAACAACAGGCTTAGCATGTGAGTGCTCTTGATTTGACCCCAGCACCAAAAACAAAAATCTTTTTTTTTTTTTTTTTTTTTCGGTTTTTCTCCGGTACCAGGAACCGAACTCACGACCTTGCGCTTGCCAGGCAGGCGCTTTTGCCGCTGAGCTAAATCCCCAGCCCCAAAAATCTTAATTTTAAAACAAAACCTGTAATGTATCCTAAATATCATATAGTCTTTTAGTTGAAGATTAAAAATAATTTTATTTTTAGGGGAAAAAAACCTACATGAGATAAAGTCCTCATTCACACCATTCTATCTTCTAACATCTCAGATATACTTTAAAAAGAACTAGGTGTATTTAAAAGTATCTCCCAAGTTTGTGGTCTTGAATTGTTGTGTTTACAAAAGAACTTTGGAAAACATGGTATTTTCCTACAAATTTATTACTGAAATGTGTAAGCTTAATAGTTACAAAGACATAATTTCTGGCATGTTGTATATTGTTATATATGCACTTTTAATATAGCTTTATCAAAACCATGGTGTATGGTTTATTTGTTTATGGAAACTGCCCACTTACTTGTCAGACCTCATTATGAGACAATTTGAATTCAAAGCAGTGGGCTGACAAACATTTAAGTTAAAACCATCTCTTTATTTTTTTGAGACACGGCTCACTATGTAGCGCAGGCTGGCCTTGAACTTGTTATCCTCATGCCTGAACTTCCCAAGTGCTAGGATCACAGGGATGTGCCATCATAACCAGCTGTGCAAGATGATTTGGGAACGAAGTCTTGAGGCACCCATTCTCATCTCAGGAGAGATCACTTTATTTCATTTCACTCTATGCTTATTTACTTATTTATTTTTTTGCGGCTGGAGCGGGAGTGGGGGGGTAGGAGGTGGGGATTGAACCTAGGGCCTCACAAAGAATAAGACATTCTGTCACTAAGCTACACCTCCAGGTTCTCAGAGTTTATTTTAACTCAAGGTTTGTATGAAACCAAGGATCTAGACCACTATTTGATACTAGTCCTAAGGCATTTCTAAAAATTCCACTTGAGCAGGGCATGATAGTACACGCCTGTAATCCCAGCACTTGGGAGGCTGAGGCAGGAGAATTGTTGCAAGTTTGACACCAGCCTGGGCTACAAATTGTCCTCAAGGCCAGCCTGAACTGCATAGAGAGACCATCCTGTCTCAAAAAAGACGAAAAAAAAAAATCTTATTCTATAGTTGATTCCACCAAAATGGCAAACTGCTGTCTTTATTATTTTCAAAGAGACAAAGTTTGGCATGAAGTTTTTCAAACCCCTTTGCTTCACATTTTAAAAGGGATGTTAAGAATCTGAAGTTCTGAAAATGGGGGCCTGTGCCTCGTGGCACACTCCTGTAATCCCAGTGCTTGGGAGGCTGAGGCAGGAGGATCATTGCAAGTTTGAGGCCAGCCTGGACTATAAAGTGAGTTCAAGACCAACTTGAACTACATAATGAAAGCCTTTCTCAAAAAGACAGACAGAAAGGAAGGGAAGTTAGAAGACTACATCTTTCAAAGACCTTCACACAAATTACATTCTAGAATGTGATTTGTGAACACTGTTTTTGCTGCAGCAATCCAAAGTATATTTCACATACCAAAACCATGCATGGGCTGGGCATGGTGGTGCATGCCTGTAATCCCAGCACTGGGGAGGCTGAGGCAAGAGGATTGTTGCAAGTTCGAGACCAGCCTGGGATACAAAGTGAGCTCAAGGCCAGCCTGAACTGCATAGTGAGACTCTACCCTGTTTCAAAAAAGTCAAAAAACAAAAAAAAACCCATCCCATGCACGCTATTTTAACATATTAATATATGACTGACACTGTCCCAGGGTTTGGAGCAGAAATATACTGGTTGGTTTAAAATAAATTAGTATGGTGTTAGGTTTGGGTCATCTTCACTGCTACTCTTAATGAGAAATGGGTACCACCACTAATTTCAGCTTCACACTCAGGACTGTAAGACTCAGTTGGGAAAATATCATCCTAAAGAGAAACCCAACAGAGAATGCTGTTTTTCCTTTTCTTGGGGGGAAAATATGAATTGAACTACTCATAGAAATATTAGACACTATAGTTTTATAGTAGGATTTCTTAATAGTGTTATAGTTCACGGTAAGTTTTATGAAGAACCGGTTTGATGATTAGGACCACACACCAACATCTTATTTCAGTTTTATTCATCATTCTTAAAGTTTTTATCCCAAATTTAAGAGTTAAATTTGTCTTTTTTAGTACTTCCTGTATATATAGTTGCGTTAATATCACATGAATGAATCTGAACATCATCATAGCTAAGACATCTGAGCCCAAACTTCAAAGAAACAAGTTTGTTTTTGTAGAGGACCCGATAGTCCATGACATTAATGAACAGTACTATACTGTTTGTCTAGTATAAGCATTACTTACCCAAGGCATGGGTAAATGGCTATTTGCAAAAAAAAAAAAAAAATTTTTTTTTGGAGACAGGATGTCGCTATGTAGTTTAGGCTAGCTCCGAACTCATTCTGTACCCCAAACTGGCCTGGGACTTCAAACTGGCCTGGGACACAAGGTGATCCTCCAGCCTCGCCTACCGAATGCTGGGATTACAGGTGTGTGCCACCATACCCAATTTGCAAAACTGTTTTAAAGGGCATTTTTGGACACTAAAGAAGAAGCATAAGAGTAAGCTTGTTACTCTAAAGTTACAGGTGAAACATGTTTAAATGTTACTAATGTAAATCCTCGTGTATACTCTTCATGAGGTAAAAATCATTTCACTATAAAATACACAACAGCTGGGCATGGATGGTGGCCTACGCCTGTAAACCTGTAATCCCAGCACTCTGGAGGTTGAGGCAGGAGGATATCCATGAGTTTAAGGACAGCCTGCACTACATAGTGAGACATGTCTCAATAAATAAATAAATAAATAAATACACGACAGTTATCAGTTATTTCAACAATTGATTTCATTTTCCTAAAAACATTAGTGAACTTTTAATATAGTCCTTACAATTTTCTAAATCACTAGTTACAAGCACCAGCATGGTGTACTCACAACAGAGGGAGGTAAAGGCCTGCAATGTATTTCTAATTTGCAGAGCAAACACACAAGGACAGAGCTAAATTACGAGGAATCACGGAAGGCTAGAATTGCGCTTGTCGGGATGAATTGAGAGCCGATCGGGGCTCAAGGACTCTCATTACACCTCCGCAGCTGCCAAAGCCTGCCCGGGTCTGGAGGGCAGCGGGTTGCTCGATCCAATGTGTTCTTCCGGCCGGTTCACTGTCCAGACCCAGAGCGACTCCCCCGTGCCGCAGGCACTGCTCCGGGGCCCCGCACCCCGTCCTCTCCACGCTCAGGCCGTACGCCTGCCTTCCCGAGACCGCAATCTCCCTCACGGCCGACCCCAGGAAGAGCGAGGGCGCCGCGGGGTCCACGTCGACCGCGACCCAACTCACCGTTCGGTGCGCCTCAGGGGGCGCGGGCTGCGTGAACCGAGAGTCCGGGAAGCGCGTCGCGCTGCGCAGCCAGGGCCGCGCCGCCGCCTTTTAAACCAGCGGCCGCGCATGCGCACAGCGTGCCTCCGCCCGAAGCGCGGGAACCGCGGCGCTGCCCGTGGGCCGGCGCCGCCCGCGCGTGTGGGACGCGGCGAGGTCTCAGGCCTCGGCTCCTACGGGAGAGGGGAGGAGTGGCCGGGCGCGGCCCGAGGCGGAGAGGGACTGAAGCGGGGGAGCCGGTAGGTCTGAAGGGACGCGGCGCGGGCCGGGCTGTGGCCTCGGCCTGGCACTTGGGGGCCGCGACCTCGGGACCGTACCCAGGCCCTCGGGCGGGGGAAGCCTCGGTCACAGCTTCGCGAGAGGACGAGGGCGGCGCCGC